TTTATTTATTATTTTTCCATATACGACATCATCAAGGTATAATAAAATTAAAGTCTAGCCGTCACTTGTTGAAACTTTCTCACTATATTAAGTGTTATGCTTTTATTGGTCTCTATAAATATGTAGTCACACACCATAATTTGATTACTCGATGATCTCATGCATGCAATGATAATACATATACAATTCGAGAGAGCTTTCATGTAGGACATGTTCCTTTTTCGATGAAGCATGTGAATAGATTATGGCGTCCGAAAAGAACGATAGAGGTATGGGGAAATAATGGCGGTCCCTTAAACTTTTGCACGCACTATAACACACACTATGTGAAAAAAAAAAAGAAAAGAAAAGAAAAGAAAGTAACATTTTAAAGTTTATTTTAAGCATAACAAGTCAAGTGTAGATCTTAAAGTTGAAATGAAAAATAGAATCGTTTAAACAAGGGTTAGAGTTCAAACCAATTGCAAAAATAAAATAAAATAAAATAAAGGGTTTTACCATTCGTCCAAAGCTACGTGAGCCTTGGACGAACAAACGCCCTCTATTGACCAATTCGTCCAACTTTAAGGATTCATAACAACTTTATTTGTTTGAGTATGTTTTTTGAATTTATGTGTAATATTATTTTATTTTAGAATGTTTTGTTGAAATGAGATCAAAATATTGTTCAAGAATATATTTTATTATATATTTTTTTTTTTAAAAAATGAGGTTCAAACAAGGGTTAGAGTTCAAACCAATTGCAAAATGTGTGTTTGATCCACATTATTTTGGAAGAATGTATTCTGAAATAGTAGATTGATGGAAAATTTGTAGTTAAAAAAGAAGAAAAAGTTATTGATGGATGAAAAATATTATTTCATTGAAAAATGTATAGTTGAAAATGAAAATTTTAATGTATATCAAATAAGGACTTAAAATAAAATAAAGGAAATTACCATTCGTCCAAAGCTACGTGAGCCTTGGACGAACAAACGTCCTCTATTGACCGTACGTTTGTCCGAACAGACGCCCGGCCAATAACGGGGCGCCTGAGAGACAGCGCCATCTCTAATAAAACCCATAAATGAAAAAAATGTCAAATGTTATGTCAAATCATTAGTCTTTGACCTATAAATTCGTGCAGTAAGTCTATCTGGCCTTTTTTCCTTGTATATTATCGTCATTTTAAATAAATATCTACATAAAATGCTTATTAATTATTAAATGAATGCATGATTACACTTCAAAATTAAAAAAATATATATATATTGATTTTTCCATGAGTGCTTTTTTACAATTATTCTAAGGCACCGTTGAATAGCACATATTTTCAACTTTAGTAGTCTTTGATACTTGATGGACAAAATTTTCTCGGAAAACTATTTTCCAACTTTCCAAATGTTCCACCTTTTTGAGGAAAATAAATTCTTGATATTTTGGTGGGTAAATAATTTTCATTTTTTTTTCTTTTGGCAATTGGAAAAAATTATAAACACAATGGTAAGAAAAAAAATTCACTTTTATTAACAATTTCCATGCAAAACAAAGCCAAACGAATGATATTCGGTATGGTTATTTTTTTAAAAAAAAAAATTTTTTTTTTGGCAATTGGAACAAATTCTAAACTCAATGGTAGAAAATATTATCACTTTAGTGGACAATTTCCATAAAAAACGAAATCAAACGGACACCGAATTTTCAACATTTTTCATGAAAAATTATACCAATCAAACACAATTAATTACAAATCCCAATAAAATAATTTATAGGCAAATCAATTCTATGTAAAACATTTTCTTTTCACCCATTTTCCACATTTGCAATCAAACGGACCCTAAGATTATTGGATAAATTCATACATGTGACGGGTATGCGTGTACTTTGATCCAACACTCTAAAATTATAATTCTTGATAATCCGAATTTGAAAATATATTTATCATTGTTTTAATTAGTTGATAACAGGGACGGATCTAAGACCAAATTACAAGCCGGGCTAATCCGTAAAAAAAATTAATTTACTTTTTTTTTTTACACTAAAAAAAGGGGAGCCAAGGACTGAACCGGGCTACTACCTAGCCCAACCCCCTTAAATCCGTCTCTAGTTGATAAATTGGCTCATAATTAAGAAGCCAAAATACATTCAAGTTTTGGCAATAAGGTCACATTAAGAGCACTTGCACAATTATTTAGCCACTTGTGTAACTTTCTTCGATCTTTTTTGGTCGATTTTGACATGATTTTTATTGATAACATAGTGCACACTACACATCGTTGCAAAAGAATGCACTATAAAGGGACGGGCCTATCTATTGCCAAAGAACATACCAAGAAATTAAGAGAGTACTTAGCCTAGCATTTAACAAGATCTCNTCGTTGGACAAGAATGCACTATAAAGGGAGGTGCCTATCTATTGCCAAAGAACATACCAAGAAATTAAGAGAGTCCTTAGCGTAGCATTTAACAAGTTCTCTTCACAGGTTTTCAAATAGTCGGATAGTTCTCGTGTCAGTTTCTACTTTCTTGGTTGTATTTAGGGATTCAGGTGCGTGAGAGAGATTATATTATTGTAGCAATATTGATATTGTGAAAATTTAATGCCTATGATAATCAATAATTTTTCTTATGTTTTTTTTTTTTTCCTTTTTTTGAAGTTTTCACGGAAATTCTTGCATCTGTTGGGCTCCCGTTTTTTAAAACTCATTTCACCTATCATTTAATGCCACATTAACGCCACATAGACTGGTGATGCATCCCCAGTTGGGATGAATAATATTTCTCTTTCCTTAAACTTGTTTCAACAATACATTTTATGAGATTCATAACTTTCAGTAACTTTCAATAATACGTTTGATCAATTTTTATCAAAATTTACTAAAATTTAATTTTTAACTAAGCAAAACAAGGGTCTTATTTATCTATATTCTTGATATCTCTAAAGAGAAATAATAGTCCATCTTGACTTGGAGCGTGTTTGGGCATTGTTTATTATAAAGATAAGTTCTGACTGCATATTTTATATTGACTCCGCATTAAAAATAAGTCATACATTTGTTGTTTATCTCTAAGGCCCTGTTTGATAGGGCTCTTTTTCCATGGAATTGGAAACCATTTTCCATCTTCTTGAAAAATTTCCTGTTTGATTGACAAGAATTTCTTGGATGGTGGCCATGCGCCTGACTTTCTTAGAAATTGGTAAAGGTGAGAATTGGTTTTCCAGCCACGGCCGTAACTTTTGACTTTTTTTTTTTTTTCATTTTTTTTTTGAAATTGAAACAAATTTCATAACCAAGTGTAATAAAAAATTTCACTTTCATGGACAATNATTTTTTAGGAAACTTTTTTTTTTCGTTTTTTTTTTTTACTTTTTGGTAATGGAAACAAATTTTATAACCAAGTGTTAAAAAAATATCACTTCAATGAACAATTTTGATGCAAACGAAGGCCAAACGAACACAAAATTTAAAAATTTTTCAGGTGAAAAATTATACCAATCAAACACACGTAATTAACAATTCACTGGAAAACAATTTTTAGACAATTACTTTCCCTGAAATTCATTTTTTTTTCACCCATTTCCACCCTTACTATCAAACGGACCCTAAGATCATTCATGCTCTAACGTTTCATTGCCCGTAACTAAATCATAAAAGTTATATAGGAGAAAAAAAATTATTTATTTTTTTAACCTCGAAAGCTAACAAATTTATAAATCAAAATATATTATAATTTTTCTAGGAAATGGAGATCCGTACATTATTTGTAAATATGTTTACTCAAATGTGTTTGCGTCACATTATTTTGAAAAAATGTATTTTCGAATAGTAGATTAATGAAGAATGTGTGGTTGAAAAAGAAAGAAACGTTATTGATGTGATGTAAGATATTATTTTATTGAAGAACGTATGGTTGAAAATGAATAGAAAAATGAGTATTAAAATTTTAATGTCGCTCAGTTCAATAATAATAACAATAGTAAAATTTCAAAATATTTATTCGGGCGGTGCAGAAGTGAAAGAAAGATCCCCGGGTTTGAATCAACAAAAGCGGGCAATATCCGGACTGCTTGGCTTCGATTCAGTTGGAGGGAAACCGGGAACCCGGTAAAATACAAGCATTTTCCAGAACAAAGAGTCAACATAAGAGAGCAATTTGTTTCGCTTACCAAATAAGTCATAGTATGAGAGTGGTTTATTTATGAAAAATGAGCCCATAGAATGTTCAATCATGCTTACAAATAGAATAAGCCCCGGTTTGATGGTTTTTTTTTTCAAATTTTTTTTTTTTACATATTTATTTTCAATTATACATTTACGTAATAAAATATTTTGTATGTAAATTCAAAAATTTTCCTTACTTTTTAACCACACATTCTTAAAAAATTCACCATTTAAAACATGTTTTTCCCAAATAATGACCATCAAAATGGGGCTAAAAGTTACTTTTCTGAAAGTAAGGTTTGATACCGTTCTAAAGGGTAGCTTTTAAGTGGAGCCAATAATATGCATGTTCGATAAATAAATTACTTATAAGTTTTGAAATCCACAACTTATAAACTGAAAGTATGGATCCAAAAATGTGAACATTTTGATCCGCTCAATTTCATGAAATAAGTATATGACGTCCATGAGTTCCTCATTTGAGTGTGAATTATGCGACTATGGATTCTTATTATTTTTAGAATATATATATATATTTTTTAATCACATATTTTTCAATAAAATAATATTATACGTAAATTCAAAATTTCACGACGGTCACATTCTTCCACCAAAAATCCATTATTTTCAAAATGTTGGGGCCGAAACGAGCCTATAAATTCACCCGTTTCAAATGAGAAGAAATGTAACTTAAAGATACAGATATCAATCTCTTGCAGGATCAAATTCTTCCATTTCTCTCTATTGCAGGATCAAGGGTAGGAATTCAAGAAATCAATCATGGCGGCCAAATTTCTGTCATTGGCATGCATAAGGAACGAGAGTCGAGATTTATCTCCAAGGCCACACTATCCATCAATGCCCAAAATCCCAAAGGGCGTACATGCGTCATCTGATGAAGAAAAAGACATTCAGGGATCTGAATCCAAAGCCCTCTTTTCCGTAATTGGAATGACTTGCTCTGCGTGTGCCGGCTCCGTCGAAAAGGCCGTGAAGAGGCTTCCGGGAATCAAAGAGGCTGCGGTTGATGTGTTGAATAACAGAGCCCAAGTCACGTTTTACCCTGCTTTTGTTAATGTAAGTTGACACACACACACACACAAAGAGCGGCGGCGGGGTTGGGTTGGGTTTTACGTAAATTTTTAAGGGCTGTTTTTCTTGGGTTTCGGTTTCTTGTTCTACATTGAAATTGATTTGAGTTCTTCAATTGCCTTGACTTACAAATTGATGGCAACGTTCAATATTGTTAATCAAAGTTTACCGAAATTTCAGTTCGATCATTTCTTTTCTATATTTCAATCCATCTAGTGGAATTTTTGCAAACTGCTATGGAAATTACAAGCTGCAGTAGATACCAAATTAAGGCATAGAGAATCAACAGTGTCTAAGGTCCAGATTTGCCTCCTCCTACTCAAGGAATTATTTACTGGCCCATTTCAGTGAGATTAGCAATACCAAACTTGTATATTTATGAGGCACTGAAATTCCTTTAGTACTGAAATTATCTTTGCTTTCTTGAAAGTTAAACGTTTTGGAGGTATTGTCAGGCTCCGAGACTCTGCAATTTGTCGTTTTCACTTGCCTCTCTGATTCTATACCTCTCGTTTCAATGAACCAAAGGTTTTGGTAAAGTCGATGGCTTTTTACTTGATTATCTAGTAGAAGTAAAACATGAATTATTTGATGGCCCATGCAAGCTCAAGATGTCGAGTGGACAAACTTGCGTTCTTGGAGAAATTAACATACCTTAGTTTAAAATCGAGTTTCCATGCAGTCAGGTTTTATCTCAGGATTTTTATAACTCAAGTGCACTACTTTTGTTTTTACAGTTCATTCAATCCTCAATATTGAGGATATGGGTCACAGGTAATGTTTTTCTAATTTTCATGTTTCAATATGCAGGAAGAAACGATCCGTGAGACAATTGAAGATGTAGGCTTTCAAGCCACATTGATCAAAGAAGAGATCAATGAGAAATCAACTCAAGTGTGCCGGATTCGCATAAACGGAATGACTTGCACTTCTTGTTCCACAACTGTCGAATCTGCTTTACAAGCATTGCGTGGTGTACAAAAAGCACAAGTTGCATTAGCAACTGAAGAGGCTGAAGTTCAATATGATCCAAAGTTCTTGAGTTACAATCAAATCTTGGAAGCCATTGAAGATACTGGATTTGAGGCCATACTTATCAGTGCTGGAGAAGATAGGTCCAAAATACAACTGAAGGTTGAGGGAGTACTCACTGAAAATTCCATGAGAATAATTGGAAATTCTCTTCAGGCACTTCCAGGAGTTGAAGATATAGACTTCAATTTGGATCTCAAAAAGTTTGAGCTTTCATACAAACCAGATATAACGGGACCTAGAAATTTGATAAAAATAATTGAGGCGACTGGATCAGGACGGTTCAAGGCAATGATATTTCCTGAAGGAGGGGGCAGAGAATCCCATCGACAGGAGGAGATCAAAGGATATTACAGATCATTCCTTTGGAGTTTGGTTTTCACAATTCCAGTCTTCTTAATGTCCATGGTCTTTATGTATATCCCTGGCATAAAGCATGGGCTGGATACAAAAATAGTCAACATGCTTAGCATTGGTGAGCTTTTAAGGTGGATCTTGTCTACTCCAGTGCAGTTTATCATAGGTCGACGATTCTATACCGGTTCTTACAAAGCATTGCGCCACGGTTCAGCTAATATGGATGTTCTCATTGCCCTGGGAACAAACGCCGCGTACTTTTATTCTGTCTACTCTGTATTGCGAGCTGCCACTTCTCAAAGTTTTGAGTCGACCGATTTTTTCGAGACCAGCTCAATGCTCATTTCGTTCATTCTACTCGGGAAGTACCTTGAGGTGTTGGCTAAGGGGAAAACTTCTGAAGCCATTGAGAAACTCATGGACTTGGCTCCCGAAACAGCAACGCTTTTAACCATGGACGATGAAGGAAATTTGATCGATGAGGAAGAAATAGACAGTCGATTAATACAAAAGAATGACGTCATTAAGATCATTCCAGGTTCAAAAGTAGCTTGTGATGGATTTGTTGTCTGGGGACAAAGTCATGTAAATGAGAGCATGATAACTGGAGAATCTAGATCAGTGGCCAAAAGGAAGGGTGACATTGTTATTGGAGGAACCGTGAATGAGAACGGGGTGCTTCACATTAAGGCAACAAGGGTTGGATCAGAGAGTGCTCTTTCACAAATTGTTCGACTAGTTGAATCGGCACAAATGGCCAAAGCCCCCGTACAAAAGTTAGCTGATCGTATTTCCAAATTCTTTGTTCCCCTTGTAAGTAACATTCTGACTTGTTGGATATTTGGCTATACTGAATAACTTAGCCTAATTTAATTCATTGAATGCTAATTTGCAATTCGCAGGTTATAATTCTTTCATTTTCCACTTGGCTTGCCTGGTTTTTAGCTGGAAAATTACATGGCTATCCAAAATCTTGGCTTCCTAGTTCAATGGATAGCTTTCAGCTTGCACTTCAGTTCGGCATTTCTGTCATGGTCATAGCCTGCCCGTGTGCACTTGGCCTGGCTACTCCGACTGCTGTTATGGTTGGTACTGGAGTCGGTGCTTCTCAAGGAATCCTGATTAAAGGTGGTCAGGCATTAGAAAGTGCTCATAAGGTTAGAATATGACATGCTGTTTTGCTGCTGTGGTAAAATGTTCAGCTAAGCTTGAAAAATGTGAAAGTAACTTATGGTTTCAAACATGTTTGGATGTTACTTTTACGTAACAAAAAACAAAAGAAGATTGGTTATTTTAGAAGTAAGTCTTGTCTAAGTTGCTCGAACTCGGGTATGGGTACGTATTTAAGTATCTGATTTTTTATTTTTTAAAATGTAGGACACGGAGACGTGACTAAAAAGAGTCTAAATTTCGGACACGGGTATTTGAGTATGTCTTTGAAACTTCAATTAACTTTTTTTCCCAAAAACTTCATATGTAAAA